ACAGAAACAAACACACAGCCATAGTACAGAAGGAAAAACTAGGTTTCAATGACCATGAAGCATTTAGCTGTGTTTTCTTTCAATCAAAAGAACCTTCAAGGAAGGTTCCTACTAGAAGTAAAATGTTAGGAAGTTTCGGATATAGTTGTTACTCTACAAAATTCATTGACGTTGTATATAAGAGCATCTTAACGTAGCCAATGGCATGCAGTGCAAAGCTGAGTCGTGAATTGGCATCAGAAAAAGGTGTTAAGGTGAGTGCATTGAGAGAGAAGAAGAGATGAAGATGGAGATTGAGGAAGTTGGGAACTGCGAAGCACAACCACTTCCCCTGCTGTCACTCAACCACGTGTCCCTCTTGTGCAGATCGGTGTGGGAATCTATGAGGTTTTATGAGGATGTTTTGGGCTTTGTTCCCATCAAACGCCCTTCTTCTTTCAATTTCACTGGAGCCTGGTTAGCTTCATCATTCATTCTCACAACCTCTTCATTCCATACCCAATATCTTCTTAATTACAAAGATCATTCCTTTTGTAGGTTTTACAATTATGGTATTGGAATACACTTGATTGAGAATCCTCATGTTGATGAATTTGATGCCTGTGCCAATGAATTTAGGCCCATCAATCCCAAGGACAACCATATCTCATTCCAGGTAACACACCAGGCTTCTAAGCCAATCTTTAAGGTTTAGAAGACCTAAACAAATAAATTTAAGAGGAGACATTTCTCAAGCATATAAAAATTATAATTGATTTACTAAAGATATATTAGTACTAAACTAATTTTATTTTTTTAAATTTTATTTTATAATTAGTTTAACAGAGATGTATTATTACTAAAAGAAAATTAAGAACTTTTTTTTCTTGGAGATTGAGAACCTTACTTAGTTTGACCTTCAGCTGCGATGTTTTTTATTTCAGTTTACTTTATTATGAAAAGGTCCTATGACTCATGACTTTCTTTAGTAACTTTTAAGTTGTTCTAGTGATAAATATTCATTATTGATATAATGTGAGATAGATACTATACATGTCTGAGAAACTTATGACAGTTCATGATATGATAATGTGAAAATACTTTACACTATCCATGGAGAGATATTATTTACTCTATTTTTTTGTAGTTTGTGATTAGGATTTGTTGAAACAAAGTTGTTTAGATGGTAATAGAACTTAATCAACTATAGTTTCAGTAGAAGAAATCAAATGATGACATGGAGTGTTTTTGATTTTGGGCAGTGTACTGATGTTGAACTTGTTAAGAAGAGGTTAGAAGAGAGGGGGATGAGGTATGTGACAGCTGTGGTGGAGGAAGGAGGAGCCAAGGTGGACCAAGTGTTCTTCCATGACCCTGATGGCTACATGATTGAGCTCTGCAACTGTCAGAATATTCCAATCATTCCTATTTCTTCCTGCTCTCTCAAGCCTCGTGGCCACAGCTTCAAGAAGACAGCTCCTTACAAGTGTGGATTCATGGAGAATGTCATGATGGAAAGCTTGAGCACCGACATGATCAATTTCTCCTTTTAAAACAAATGAGTGAAGAACCTTATCTTGTTTCTTTTTCTTTGTAAGATAAAAAAAAGGGTTTGCTAGCTTATAAAAAAACGATAGGTTTGGTGATATTAAGATAAGTCTGTCATTAATCTATGCTAAAACCTACACAAACGTGGTCTAGAAGTCTTCGTTTGTAAGAGAATATGGTGGACCAAAGTAAATCTGTACTGCTATATTGTATCATGTTTCTGTTTGAAATAATAATAATAATAATAAAAGGAAGAAATTGTGAGTTGATCGGTTGCACTGTTCACCAGCGGATTTGTCTTTATCTTTTGATACTTTTCCACAGGAGGCGTTGTGTGATGAAATTTTCAGCCTACCAAAATTGTGCTGCCTCCACAAAAGAGAACAGAATAGAGCTGGCAATGGCCCGAGGTTACCAAATGGATGGTTCAAATTCGATGCAAAAAGTAGAAAGAGTTTATTCATGAAATAACAGTTTTGTCCTAATAAATCCAATGTATCATAAACAGAGTTGGTTGATGTGTAGATTCATGAAAACAATTTATTTTTTGTCTCGCAATTGTGGTCATGTGTTGTGGTGTCAGAATGACTATTCCACCAAGAATAAAAGCAAGAATAATCACTACAAGCCGAAGTCACACATTTATTTATTTTTGTCTCGTCATTATGGTCATACATTTGTTCTGAACTCATTACATTTCTTGGAGACTCCTATTTAAAATGACCAATCTCTAGCCACATACTTAAAAACAGTTGTTATAAACTCATTACAGGTTTTATGTTATAATCAATATTTGCTTTAAAAGTTGCCACTGTTCTACATTACTGTTTCATGCATTTGTATACATCTCATCTTTACTAAATGGTAGCACACACTAAACAAAAGCAATCCTGAACAAACTCACTTTATTCTCTATGAAAAAAAAAAGACATACAAGTTTACTGATGGGAAATTCCCAACTTTTTAAAGAGTATCAGCTAAAATGTCAGGCTAATTTGACAGAGCTTCCGAAACATGTGATGATGTAAAGCAATAATAGAGGTGACAAGCTGTAAACAAATCTTGAGTCCCCTTTTATTTCTGTTTGGGAAAGTTATTCTAGGAACAGTGAAAATTACCATTTGATCAGTGTCTCTTGTGCTTCTGATTGTGGACTGTAAACAGTATCTAAAGTTCTTTTTTTTCTCGGCCAACTACTCATGCAAAGATGTTCAGACCTGTTTGATGAGTCGTCCATTTATTAACAGTATAGATATTGACGAATCCATTGAAATCCACCATCCCTGAAATGCAAAAAAGTTGGTCGCACTACAAATCTTGGCAATATTATGTGTCTCTTTAAAGGGAAGTTGGGAGATAAGAGATAACCTACTTGATTCATTCAAAAGTCTTGTTTTTATAAATCCAGTAAAACTCTAAAAAATCAAACGTACGCATCTTATAGATTTGTAATAAGTGTGTATGAGAATTTGGGTGTAGAGTAGATAAAGAAGTTAAAGTAAGAGTGAGCAGGAAAATGGATAGAAGGGACAGGTAGAGAAGAAGATGGAAGATTCATGGCTTTGGTTGTTGTGGCTGAAAAGGAAGGAGAAGTTAGGCAGAGGGTAGGAAGGATGAAAGAAACAAGAAACATGGGAAGGATGTGGGTCCCATGTCAGATAATTAATTGGTGGGTGAGAATGAAGCGTGAGTTGCTGTCAACTCTGCATTGGCTTTGAACTTGTGGCTACGAAGTAATGTTTGAGGCCAACAGAGTTGACAAACACTCATTTATTGTGTCTTTGCAAAGTTTTGGAATCAACCATCAAGGTCCCCCCACTCCTTCAAAATCCTTTCTTTTATCCCACACTCTAATCATAGTCCTTCCCCATCATCATCTTCATCAACCACCACCTCCACCCTCTTTCACAAACAACATAACATTCACTGAAAAACAAAACTATCATACCCACATGGATTTGGTGAACACCTGTCTTCTTCTCTGCCTCCCTTCTCTTTCTATGCTCATATATATTCATCATCATAATACACACATAGATACATATATTGTGTTTTTCTGTCTCACTGTAACTTTCTTTCTGTCTGTTGCCTGAAGCAATGAAAGTGGGAGAGTCCAACTATGCGAACGCTTTGTGATGCTTGTGAGAGTGCGGCGGCTATAGTTTTCTGCGCCGCTGACGAGGCTGCACTTTGTCGTGCTTGCGATGAGAAGGTGTTTTTTTTTGTCAATACTTTCTGGATCTTCTTTGTGATATGTTGTGCTCATTATCGATATTGATCTGTGTTTTGTACTTGTGTTTTGGTGTTTCGTTTAGATCACTGACTTGAATGTTATTATCTGGTGTTTATTGAAAAGTACGACACGGTCACTATATTTCATTGGTAATTTAAGAATATTGAAATCCTGGGAGAAACTTGGAGAAGTTCATGTATGTATGGGGTAACGAATTGAAGGGCTTGAAGGTTGACCCTCTTGTAGCTTCTTAGATATGCTTCGATCCGATTTGATCTTGTTGCGGTGTTGTGTGAATTGAAAATCTGAGTCTGTATTTTACTTTTGTTTGGTGTTGGTTTTTGTGGTCAACAACTTTGAACCAAAGGGTAGAAGATTAATGTTTTGGAGCTGACAGGTTCACATGTGCAACAAGCTAGCAAGTAGACATGTGAGAGTTGGTCTTGCAAGTCCAAGTGATGTGCCACGGTGTGACATATGTGAGAATGCACCTGGTAAGTGGTTTCTTCTTTATATCCTTATGGTGTTCCTATGATGCTTATTGTTTATATGTGTTTACCCTTTCAATCTGGATGTAGCTTTCTTCTATTGTGAGACAGATGGAAGTTCCCTTTGTTTGCAGTGTGATATGATAGTTCATGTTGGAGGTAAAAGAACGCATGGAAGATATCTTCTGTTCAGGCAAAGAGTTGAGGTTAGTGAGTGAACTGGTCTTGATATGTTTATTGACTAAAAACCCACCAAAATTTTGTATTAAGATTGTAAGTTTGGCTGTTTTAATCTCTAGCTTTGCACAAGGCTCACTTCAGTACCTAACTTTATAAAATGTTATTCGTTTTAGTCCTTAATGTTGGTGAAGAAAAACTGAAATGAATATATTTTACAAAGTCAAGGATTAAAGTGACCAATGCTTACAATCTTAGGGATTAAACTGGGGTTTATTTACTTTTGGGTTTCCATAAAGGTGTAATAATGTCTCCTTGTTCCACAGTTTCCAGGAGACAAATCTAGTCATGCTGAAAATCCAGGTTCACAGCCATTGGAACCTGGTGAGAGTAAAAGAGGACATAATCAACTTCCCAAACTAAAAATGGTAGAGAAGCAGCACAATCATGTGATGCCTCTGCTTCCAACACCAGGATCTGCTGCTGATGGGCATACCAAGATGGAAACAAAAATGATTGATTTGAACATGAAGCCTAATAACAGATTACATGAACAAGCATCAAATAATCAGGTTAGAGTGCATGGGAAGTGGCTTTTGTCTTCCTAATTAGAAATTTCTTTTCAAGTAAAGGTGTGTTTCACATAAATCAGATATGCAAATACTTGCAAGGTAAAATTGTTAACCCTTTTAGTGCAAACCCATCTCATTTAAATTGTAATCAGTGGTATTAAATCCATTCCTCGTGCATTAAATATAGTAAACTTGTTCAAATAGTTTTGATTAGGATATGGAACTAATTGAAATGTCATGTGATGTGTTTGTTAAATGAATTTATCTTGGGGATCACATTCTGGCTTTATTTGAAGGAACATTTTACGATTCGCCTTCACAGCTACAATCTGAAGAGATTAACATTGCAAGGAAAATATTGTTTTGTACTTTTAATTGTGGGTTTGAAAAAGCTTCATATGCGAACCAAAAAAACATGTAATTTGTTCTGAAGCAGGTATTCAGTAAACTGTCATAAAACTTAAAACTAAGTGTGGTTGAAGAGTTGATCCGAACTAAAATTTCTACTAATCACATCATGTGCAATGATTATAATTCTTAGGAATGCTTTCTCTCTTTCTTTGCAGCCATAAATGGTACAACCAGGCAATGCAGTTCTTGCAGGATTCTACACCAAAAATATAGTACTGGCAAAAGCTTCTCATGCATGTTAATGACAAGGATGACAAAGATATTCTGTTAACATCCTATTCTGGANAGTGAGTGAACTGGTCTTGATATGTTTATTGACTAAACCCACCAAAATTTTGTATTAAGATTGTAAGTTTGGCTGTTTTAATCTCTAGCTTTGCACAAGGCTCACTTCAGTACCTAACTTTATAAAATGTTATTCGTTTTAGTCCTTAATGTTGGTGAAGAAAAACTGAAATGAATATATTTTACAAAGTCAAGGATTAAAGTGACCAATGCTTACAATCTTAGGGATTAAACTGGGGTTTATTTACTTTTGGGTTTCCATAAAGGTGTAATAATGTCTCCTTGTTCCACAGTTTCCAGGAGACAAATCTAGTCATGCTGAAAATCCAGGTTCACAGCCATTGGAACCTGGTGAGAGTAAAAGAGGACATAATCAACTTCCCAAACTAAAAATGGTAGAGAAGCAGCACAATCATGTGATGCCTCTGCTTCCAACACCAGGATCTGCTGCTGATGGGCATACCAAGATGGAAACAAAAATGATTGATTTGAACATGAAGCCTAATAACAGATTACATGAACAAGCATCAAATAATCAGGTTAGAGTGCATGGGAAGTGGCTTTTGTCTTCCTAATTAGAAATTTCTTTTCAAGTAAAGGTGTGTTTCACATAAATCAGATATGCAAATACTTGCAAGGTAAAATTGTTAACCCTTTTAGTGCAAACCCATCTCATTTAAATTGTAATCAGTGGTATTAAATCCATTCCTCGTGCATTAAATATAGTAAACTTGTTCAAATAGTTTTGATTAGGATATGGAACTAATTGAAATGTCATGTGATGTGTTTGTTAAATGAATTTATCTTGGGGATCACATTCTGGCTTTATTTGAAGGAACATTTTACGATTCGCCTTCACAGCTACAATCTGAAGAGATTAACATTGCAAGGAAAATATTGTTTTGTACTTTTAATTGTGGGTTTGAAAAAGCTTCATATGCGAACCAAAAAAACATGTAATTTGTTCTGAAGCAGGTATTCAGTAAACTGTCATAAAACTTAAAACTAAGTGTGGTTGAAGAGTTGATCCGAACTAAAATTTCTACTAATCACATCATGTGCAATGATTATAATTCTTAGGAATGCTTTCTCTCTTTCTTTGCAGCCATAAATGGTACAACCAGGCAATGCAGTTCTTGCAGGATTCTACACCAAAAATATAGTACTGGCAAAAGCTTCTCATGCATGTTAATGACAAGGATGACAAAGATATTCTGTTAACATCCTATTCTGGTAAATGAGGCACAGAAATCTTTTGAGGAGTTTATTCGTCTATGTACGAACTTAATTTGGTAGTTCAACACAACATATTTGTATTGCAAAGCATTGTTGATTGTATATCTATATGATCGCTTCCAATGAATTGCGTGTTGCTGAATTTTGTTTTTGGTTTCAGTTTCTGTGCTACTACGGCTCCCCACAAAATTCAAGGGGGAAGAATTTTATTTTTCCAAATAAAATGAGACATATAATTATAAATCATAGAGGTGTTAGCAAATTGGATAGAATCCGTGTAGAGGAAAAAAAAAGCTCATTTGATCTTTTTTTTTTAAAATTTATTATCCAATTGATCTGATCATAAACTTTGGATCCAATTTTAAACGGCTTTGATTACTTTGGTTTGTAATTCGATTCTTTTTATTTTATACTATTAAAAGGGTTTGATCATGTGATTTGTTCTTGAAATTAAGAGTGAAAAAAAAAATTGGCCATGGACTTTTTTATAATCCATTATAGAGAGATTAATTAATTTCCTTTGAGATTATTTGATTCAGAATTAGATACTAAGTTTTGCCTTATGCGACAAACTTTCCAAAATAGGTAATAGTTCAAGATGTTCTTAACTTTATTGGAGGATTATCCATTCGCATCAATGTCTTATGTCATGTTGATGTCATTCATATCTTCAACACTCACCTTTAGTTTATTTTTCACTTTTTTTGCTAAGAAAAACATCACATCAACCTACAATGTTAGAGATAATAAATAGGTCATCAAATCGAATAAGTTGATTAAGATTTCCTAAATGTGAAAAAAAAAATATTGGGATCCACAAATTTCACTTTAATGATATCATATATTAGTTTTAACCTATGACATGCTAGATTTTATATTAAATTATAAACCATAAAGTGGTAATGGGTAATATTGAATTCCTGAAAAAGAGCAACAATTGTTGTGATAGATGAGAAATTAAAAACTGTTTGTTTATGAGTCAAGAAAATCAATACTCCATGTATTTAGTGGCTTTTTGTTGGAGAGCATTTTACGCGCGTGCTATGATTCCAACATCTCTAAAATCTTTCACTACGGATCAGATATCTTTATTCATTTTGTGTGATGACATGTGGTTGGGGACTTTATTCAAAAATTTACTTAAATGTTTAAAATACAGGTAAACGTTTATTTTCATAATATATATATATAACCATTTAAAATCGTATATGTCTAAAACCAGAACTCGTTATCCGGATCGACCAATAATATAACACAATTTAATGATTGAGTCCATCGATTTTATTTATAATAAACATGTGAAAAATATGGTTTCCAAAATTTAATTTTTATCGGGGTCAGTTGGAGTTCTCGTTTAACAAAAGTACAGAAAAACTAGGTTGTGCTTTATTTTCTGTAGAGTTATTACATTTAGATGAGTTATTAGAAAGAATAACGTAATAAAGAATAAATATTTTTAAAGACAGTTCTTTAATGGTGATATGAAATAGGACGTTTACTCTTTTCTAGTTTCTAAATTTTGCATAGTATAAAATTGTTTTATACAAAAGTTATATATGTTAAGATTGCAAATCATTCTTATGATTTTTAAGAAATTATTAAAAAAAGAGAGTATGATAATTTTTAATTACAGAACCATTTATAACTATTTTACATTATTAGTATGAATATATATATATATATATATATATATATATATATATATATATATA